TATAGGAGTTTATGAGGGTACTTTACAAGGAAATAGATATAGTAATTAATTAGGAGAATATCTCCTAATTATACAAGGATGTGTCAACTATATGAAATAAGGAAGTAAATCATCTAATTAACTTAGAAAATAAATCTCCTTGATTTAGTCGGTTAACTCACGTCAACAGTTATTAGGACCCTCTCACCATTTTGAAAACTTGTCTTCATATATGTTGTAACTTGTATCTAATTTGTTTCATATTTACACTTACATCTCATCTTTTTATGCAAATATAGATTGTCTGCAGTATTTGGCAATGACTAATTTGTAAGAATTACTTCAATTGAGCTTAAAGGCTTAGTTAAAAGTCCATGACACTTCATTCCTTTCCTCCCTCGGTTATCCTTTACATATAAGGTGTATTGTAATGAAAGAAAAAAGTTAACTGAGCCTTGCACCAGAGTTCAGTCTCCTTCCTTCTACTTAGTTTAAAATATCATTTTGTCGCGATGAGCTTGCAGCTGACGTGGTTAAAAACAGTTACCCTTGCACATATAGTTATGTGTTTCAATCTCCCCTCCCCTACTATCGTTTATATAAAAGAAGTCTGCGGGGGTGGGGGATGGCGAAATCGTGGGGAGGTGAAATGGGTGGATGGCGGTTTGGGGGTTGGGGTGAGGGAATAATCAGGTTCAAAACCAAACTTGAACAACTTTGCCAAGACAGATAAGCTACCGCCCTTTTGGCCCAGATGACAAAAACAGTTAATCATAATGTTCATACAAACGTTAGGAATAATTGGCAACAAATCCATTTGTTTGCACAAAGAGATGGCATCACAATAATGTTTCAATTTCGCAATTTGACTCAATATTTGATTGAAACCCACAATTGAAGGCAGAGGACACGTTTGAGGCTGGAGGATCAAACCCCCAGAATCTGAAACTTGGATGGAGGGCGGAGCCACAGTGGGGTTGCACGATCTCTTGGAAGCCATAAAAATAGGCTTGGAGGTCCCTCGAGTAGCTGGTGCGACCTCTGTGCTCCACGAATTGGCTGAAGGAGAAGCCTGTGCGCGCAGCACAGCGCGCCTGCCTTTATTTTTTAAAAGCAACCTAGGCAAAACGACATCGTTTTGGGTCAAGGAAATTTTTTTAAATTACCTGGCCAAAACGACGTCGTTTTGGGCCAGGTCTAAAAAGAGAAAGGGTTATCTGCTGAATTGCCCCCTGAACTTGTACATAACTCTCAATTTACCCCATGACCTTTTTTTTTAGTGAATTAAGGAGTCGAATTAAATTTTATTATCAATGTTCCCCCCACCGTCAAAATTCGAACATTTCATCCATTAATCCGTCCATTTGACTCACGTTGACTCTTTTTTTAGGGTTTTTTAGGGGTTTTTTTTTCAGCGCCTTTTTTTTTGGAAAACAATTGAAGAAAAAAAGGAAAATTGAAAAAAAAGAAAGAAAAAAAGAAAAAAGATCCTGAGAGCCCAGCCCCCACCCCTCGATTTCTTTCTCCCCTCAATTCTCCCATGACCACCCCTTGCCCCTACCACCCCTCCCCCACAAACCCAGAAATCCAAGCCAGCAACCACAAACCTAGCAATGTCAAACCCAACCCCACCTCCGATTCTTCCAGGCTCAACCTCATCTACAACCACCGCAATCTCTGACTGCTCTGCCTAATCCCAAGCTTCGATCGCCACCCCAACCTCCAGCGCCTTGGCATCTCAGTCTCCACAGCCCTCTTTGCAAGTTTTCCATATGAACCCATCTCGCCAACCAAACCCAACCCTCACAAATGATCTCCAAAATTATGCTTCAAGGATAATACCGCCACCTACCTAGGGCTTGGGTATAGATTAACAGTCGAAACGAAAGAGAAGGGTGGCGATCGGGGCTTAGCAAAGGCAAAGCGGTCGAAGAGCTCCAACCAGGAGCGGCACTCGGAGAGGCCGTTGTAGAGATTTTCCGAGATGTGGTTGATGAAGGCGTGGAAGGTTGGGTTGGCGATCGGAGCTTGGGATTAGGCGGAGCCGTCGGAGATTGCGGTGGTTGTAGATGTGGTTGAGCCTGGAAGAATCGAAGGTGGGGTTGGGTTTGACATTGCTGGGTTTGTTGTTGCTGGCTGGGATTTCTTGGTTTGTAGGGGAGGGGTGGTAGGGGTAAGGGGTGATCATGGGAGAATTGAGGGGAGAAAGAAATCGAGAGGTGAGGGGTGGGTTGCTGGGTTCTCAGGATTTTTTTCTTTAGTGTCTTTTTCTTTTTTTCTTCAATTTTCCTCTTTTTCTTCAACTTTATTTCCAAAAAAAGGCGCTAAATGACCAAAATAACCCTCAAAAGAGAGTCAACATAAGTCAAATGGACGGATTAATGGATGAAATGTTCGAATTTTGACGGTGGGGGAACATTGATAATAAAATTTCATTCGAGCCCTTAATTCGCTAAAAAAAAAGGTCAGGGTGTAAATTGAGAGTTATGTACAAGTTCAGGGGTTAATTCAACAGATTACCCAAAGAGAAAACAACTCGTTTTGGCCAGGTCTAAAAAACACAAAACAACAAATGCCCATCTTATCCTTCTATCTTATCCAACACCAATACTTCCATCTAAAACCCCCCCAATTTGTTTTTTGTTATACTTTTGTTGTTGTTAATTGATATTGTTATATTTTTGTTGTTGATAAATAATGTGTTGATAAATATTTTTTTAATTGATATTGTTATATTTTTCTTTGTTCGTTCTTTTCGTTCTTCTTTTTTAAAAATAAATAAATAAATAAATAACTGGGTCGAGGTGGAAAGCCAAAAAACATGGGTGCTGGAAACAAGGGATGAGATCTCAACATGCTTTCGTTATTCAAGGACGCTATCTGATGCTTTCTTTACCATTTAAACCAGGATATCCTTCAATCTGAAAACAAAAGCAAATTAGAGAGAAAACATAAGCAGAAATCAATCAAAAATGGAGTTCCCTTTGATTCCTTAAGCCTCAACATATTTGAATTCATCCCTTGCTCCTTCTTCAAACCAAGAAACAACACATGAAAATGTTGTGTTTCCACACCCCAATTTTCAGACCGGTTCTACCTCTGTGCAAGCTGCAAATATGCACAATGAAATCCCAGCAAATATGCATAAAGTCTTCAAAAACCCTTCTTCGTTCGGGTATAGAGGGTTTTTAGGGTAGGTTGGGGTTGATGCTAGAGTATTAGTGTGGGTGTTTGTCTGTAATTTTTTTGACAAAAATTTATTATTAGTTTTACATTAGTTTTAAATAATTAGATAGGAAACGATTCATTTGTCCTAAAAAATGCACAGTTTATCTTTAAAAAAATTCGATATTTTTACACTATGACCTTGTGACCCGAGAGTTCTGGATCTGCCAGGTGGGGTTTTTATTTTATTTATTTATAGTTTTATAAATGTTTAATTTTATGTAGGTGATGTTTTTATTTTTTTGTATAAAATTATAAATTTACCCTTAATTTGGATTGGAATTTGAAAAAATTAACGGTAAGCTCTCAATTGGCGATTTTTAAACAATTAAATTCCTTAATTTACCGAAATTTTTTATTAAGAAGCTAAATTGACAATATGGACATAATTCAAGAGGCAAAACCGCAGAAAACCCGAAATTTCAGAATAGTTAAAAAGACTCATGCGGTAGTGGACCTCAAAAACGATAAAATAATCTCCGACAAGTGTTAATTACATTCTGCATCCTGAAGTATGTACCAAATTTCATAATACACCCTAGTATATAAAATATTACAATGCTAACTTAAAGTTTGTAATTAATTTCAAATACGGCCCGAATGTTAACTCATTCGTTCATTTTGATAAAGTGGTGCACGAGGGCAAAGTTTGTGTATGGCAAATAAAAAATAATGAAAACAAAAAATTGGAAAAGAAAAGAATAGTTTTTTTTCTTTCTATTTTTTCATTCGAGGGAATATATATGCATTGCATTACCACTTCTGTCTGTTGCATGTCACACCCTCTAAGTTGTTCAACGCATCTTCTAATGCATGTGTTTGAAAATACAATTAGAACACATTAGTCAGAAGAAATGAATCATAATCAGTCATGCTATTCAAAAACATCAACAAAAAATTAATGTCAGTTCCTTGTCTCTCCTGTTTCTTCCTACTAACCTTTGTGCGCCTTGCTAGGTGTGGCAAATTCCACTCTGCTCAATACATTTCATAGGATTCATTTCCAACCTGCATTCAACCGAAAGAAACTTCCTCAGTCGGAGAAATGTTTGATATGGATGATAACTTCAAAAAAACTTATTCAGTCAATTTTAAGAGCAATTGGGTTTAAAGATCCCCGACCTGTGTAACGTAAACTGTCAAGCAAAAATGCACTACAAAGCCCAAATTGTACGCTTAACAGAAGCAAGAGCTGAACATGATCAAAGCAATTCTGGTGTATGATGTTCCAGAATCTATTTGAGGACTCATAATCCCACCAGCTCAAAAAGCTTCAAAACTATCACAAGTGTCTGCCGACTGGTTTGAAAGTAGGAGATGCTTTTTTGCATTTTCTGGCATTCCTACTTTGTATATTTGTTCCCTTACATCAGCACTGATTCCAGTGACCTCCATGGTAACCACCTCTTTTTCCCCACTCCCCATTACCCTGCAGCCAAAAAAGAAACAATGATAAATTATTTCAAATTCATTGATTTCCTTAAGCTACTTTTGCCATCGTGACAAACATATAAATCCACCAAATTACCTTTAGAAACCCATGAAATGATAACAGAGAAAGATATCCACAGGCATTATATCTTATGAGTCATTACCTAGTTCTTTTCTCAGTTTTGGAGCCCATCAAGTTTAGCACGTGCCAAATGCAAGTTTGGAACAGCCATCAGATAAATCAGCAATCTTGTCATTGGCCAATCCCAGTTTTCTTTCAAAATAAGCAAGCAGGAATTTCCAGATCTTGATAAAGGCAAGCCACTGTTAAGCTACCACTAAGTTAAGAATTGTGGCTTTAAACATTAATTTCAACAAAGTGCCATCAACCCTGGCATGTATTTAATTCTCGATAATACAGTGTACCAAGTTATTTACATCCAATATACTTTTGCCCTTCAACCATACAGTCTCTTGACTTAAACAAAAAAGCAACGAGTTCCATGTAAAATAATCTGGAATGATACCCTTCTCTACCATTTGCAAAACAAGTCTCAAAGCTTTCTGAAAATCCCCCATATGGCAAAGAGCGGCCACCAAAGGACTATAACTTCTAGCATCGGGTGAACAACCTCTCCCAACCATGTCTTCCAGGAGCTTCAGTGCACTACCAACTTTTCCTTGCTCGCAAAACCCACTTATCAGAGAATTAAATGTCAACGCAAGAGGAAAGTAACCATGAGCAATCATCTCACTCAATAGCTCAAAGGCTTCACGAATACACCCTTCTTGGCAATATCTATGGATTAGACAGTCATAAATAAAAACACTTGGAACTCCCCTTTCCATAATTATCTGATTATAAACCCTCTTGGCATTCTCTGTGGCGCCCTCCTCACAGAAACCTAAAATTCTCAAGCTTCTTTCAACAGCTCTAGGAAATAGTTTCCCCATATTGGTTAGAAACTCAAGTGCTTCGTCCAAACGATGTTCCTTATACAGGCCATATAACACACTATTATAAGGAGAAATTTGGCCTAGGGAACCACCTTTTCTTTCATTCATTAATTCCAAAATTTCAAACCCTTCTTTCGTCCTTCCTCCTGAACACAAATATCTAATTAATGTATCATACGTAACAAAATTCCAGTTGATGCCATCTGTTTTCATATCATTAAACAGATCAAGCGCCATATCCAACATCCCAGACTCACAAAAACCAGAGATCAATACATTGTAAGTATCAACATTTGGAAGGCATCCCTTTCTCTCCATCTCCTTCACAATGCGAAGACCGAGTTTCGCTTTCCCTAATCTACAGAAACCCTTAATTAAGGTGTTATAAGCTACAACATCCACCAATCCTCCCTTGCTCTCCACTCTCTCTATAACCTTGACAGCCTCCATTACACGGCCATCACTGCAAAGAATTTCCAACACCTTAGTTACAGTGACAACATCAGGCACAAACCCCAAACCAAAGCACTTCTCTAGCAAAACAAGAGCTTGCACTAAATTCTCTTCTCCACAATAACCAGATATCAAAACATTAAAAGTCACATCATTGGGCGCTTCCATCTCATTCATCAAGCTTCTCGCTCTCCCAACTTTCTTGTTCTTGCAAAGTGCATGAAGCAACGTGTTATAGACCACAGTATTTGGGGTAATTCCCCGAGACTTCATTGCTTGCAAAAGCTTAAAACCATCACCAATTCGATTCGTCAAGCAAAGTCCTTTCATCAAGATACCGAAAGTATAGTCATCGCCTTGAACGCCACTTTCCATCATCTTCTTCCTATAAAACTCCCTAGCTATATCTATATCTTCCTTCACAAGAACATCAAGTATGGAATTGAATACCTTCAAAGAAGGCATTTTTTCATACTTGTAAATCAAGTCAAGCACGTTGATCACTTGTTTTACCATGTGGGCACGGCCGAGACCTCGAATGATGGTGACAAAGATGTCTTCATCTGGGGGTTGCCCAATTGAGGTTGGCATTTCGTCGAGCAATTGGTGAACAGTGTCAAAGCAGTGGAATGTGCACAGCTTGTGGATGAGAGCACGGTAAGTGGAGGGAGAGTGGATGAAGTTGGGGAGTTTGGAGGCCCATTTGAAGGTTTGGAGGGCTTGGGATGCTGATTTTTGGTCTAATAGAAGATGGGCTATGTGCTTATGGGATGGAGTTGCAATGGATGATGATGATGCCGACGACGACGACAATGAAGAAGATGTCGATGACATGGTTCTAAGAAAACGTCTGAAACACAAAATTGGAAGCTTCAAAGGATTATAAATTGCTGGCATTGGACATCCACTTGTGTTGCTTTTGAAGGAGTTTGTTACCCTTGCTCTGTTTTCTGCACATCAAACAATACACAATAGCCTAAACTCAATTAAAACAACTCTGGGTTGAAATGTAACAATTAACAGAAGATTAGGAGAATCCTAAATATTATTGTGGAATGTGAATTCCACAAACACTTTGAGATATCTCTTTTGACCCAAAACAGAAAAAGAGTTCTCCAGGACTCAGGCCAAAACTGTTTCTTTTTTTTTTTTTCTTTTTTTTTTTGTTGTTGTTGTGAAGAAGCACAAATTTATCAAGAAGAAGAAAATTACAAAGGTTGGGGGTGGGCCAGAAGTGATACTGAAAATAACTGTTAAACTACAAAACAACACTGCAATGAAACACAGCTGCCCTCCCATCTAAATAAATATCAGAAAAAAAAAAGATCCTTGAATTCTGCCATCCACTCCAGGTGCCATATAATCTTCGAGGCATATATTTTGTGTGTGTACATATTTACATATACATACACACAATTGATCACCGAACATGAACCTGGCATTATGGCTGTGTGTGTACAAAGGGCCCCAATAACGAGAAATAGAAAGAAAAAAAAATTACAAATTTTAAAAGTAACAACAAAAACCCTATGGAAAACTTAAACTCCAATTTCCATCTTTTCTACCTTTTTGTTCAGCTACCAAACAGAGCATATCACATAATCTTCAACAAAAACAAAGAGAGACAAAATTAAGCGCATAAAGACTACTTTCCAAGTAGTACTTTGTAACTAAATGTCTCTAATTCTCCAATTTGGGCAATATTTCCCTTGGAAAGAGAATGTAGCAAGTAAAACTGCATCGAAGCACTCCACAACAACATATAGGACCTGTTCAACAAAATTACTGACAGACACAGAGAAAGAAGCAAGAAATGATTAGAGCTGTACCTGGAGAGGTTGAGAGAGCAACAGAGAATCAGCAGGAGAGGTTGCAGGTGAAGAAGGGACGGGTGAGGCAAAGGCTGCGGCGGCTTCGGAAGGAGACTAGCACAAATTATTTGAAATCTGCTTAGAATCCAAAACATGAAAGAGTCCAAATTATTTTAATATATATTTACAACAGAAGAACAAAAATAAATAAAAGAAATGGAGTGAAAGATCAATTCTAAATTTCCAATGTCCATCCTCCAAAACAAAATCAAGAGTAAGCAACAAGCATACTCCTTGAGCTTCTCAGCAAAGAACATCCAAATATAGGAGATTTTATTACTTTACCATTCAGAAATCTTCCCAAATTTCACCACCAAGGGCATCCACTTCGTGTACAAGTTGCGATTTTGCCGGTCCACCTACTGCTGTGTTGCAAGGCTGCATTGAACACTTTTCATTAAGAAGGGCTTTAAATTATCTGGGTCATGACTCTAAAGACCTAAGCCATTTTGCATAAAGTAATGAGATCACACCTCTATTTGTTACGGTGCGTATAAGAGAGAGACAGAGAGACAGAGAGACAGAGACAGAGACAGAGACACAGGTACATATAATATCAAATCTAAAGCTGAAGAGTTGCATAATAAATAAGTTGGAATGCTACCTCACAATTTGTGTGATAGACAAAAGTATTCTAAATATTTCAACTCATTAGGTGAACTTTCTATCACACCCAGGAAAAAAATTGGTGAACTTTCTAGCTGTAAATGATAAAATTGTACTGATGTTCCTTTTAGCAGAATTATGAGTTAAGAATCCAAAATGAAAATTGGTTATTACATATCTAATTTTGAGAAATACAATAAAAGTACTAAATAAAACAGCAAAATTAAGAGGTTATCAAGAAAAAGCCAGAGTTAAACCTGCCATGCAATCCTATAAATCTTCAGTGTCAGTATAAGAGTTTTTGCCCCTAAACGAGCAGATGCTATTAGTTTGTAGCTTAATGAAAGATATGTTATCCTGATTCATTGAGATACAATAGCTCGCAATATATAAATATTCCGATTCATTGAAAGATAAAATAGCTCATAATATATAAATAGTTAGAAGTTAGATCAGATGAAGATAGATAAGAAAGGTTGGTAGATTGGAAAGGAAAAAAATAAAGACAACAAGATACTAGGTAATAATATGATCAACTCTCCTTTCAATTTTATTATGGAAAAGCATATGTTCAATTACTTCAAAAAGTCCAGAACAAATAAATAGAGGCATAACAAAGACTGCTCACACACATAAAAATTCCTGAAAACCATATGTTCCCAAACCACTTCATGCTGTTTGTTTAAAACATCCTACTGCTTATTTGTTGAACTTAATGGGAAGGCTTACTGGTACTGCACTGAGGCTTAAGGAGAAAAGTTAGCAAAATTTCAAATTGGCTCAAATGATAACCAGAATCCTTCCTCTAATTTTCATCACATCACTCTTCCTGTTTTCAACAAATTTGTTACGGTCCACACTATAATCCTTCCATCGCAACGAAGGAAGTTCCTGATTCGTGGTCTGCAGCAGGATTGTGATGACATCACCAACTTGTCTGGATTATGCAGTCCAAGCTGCCCCAAATTAACACACTACAAAGAAACAATACAGATTATCCTAACTGCAATTAACACACAGCTGCCCTCCCATCTAAATAAATATCAGAAAAGGAAAGATCCATGAATTCTGCCATAACTGAAGCACAAAGAGCTGCCCCAAATTTCATAAATGTATGTGTATTTACATCTCTACAACGTAATGGAGGTCTCGTCGTACACATTCCACTGTGCAATTGATCACTGAATATGAACCCGGCATTATAGTCCTGTCTGTACCCTTACATATAATCCAAGAAAACATCAACACTAGAGGAAAGATCCAAACTTATATAAGCAGCACATCATTCCAGTCCAGCAGACCGAGGACTTGAAAGCTATAGTAGTGCTATCTGGATAACCTATAAGAATAAGATTCAAGGCGTTCATGACAAGTAAGCATATTTTTCTGCTTTACAAAGGTCCCCAATAACGAGAAATAGAAAAAATATACAAATTTAAAAATAATAATAATAAGAACCCTTTGGAGAACTTAAACTCCACTTTCCACTCTTTCCTACCTTTTTGTTCAGCAACCAAACAGAGCATATCACACAATCTTCAACGAAACCAAATTCATGAAGGCGCTATACTTTGCAACTGCATGTCACTAATTCTACAACTTGGACAATATTCCCATTGGAAAGAGAATGTAGCATGTAAAAGAAAACACTCCACAACAACACATATGACCTGTTCGACAAAATTCCTGACAGACATTGAGAAAGAAGCGATAAATGATTAGAGCTGTACCTGGAGAGGTTGAGGCGGCAACGGAGAATCGGCGGGAGAGGTAGATGCAGAAAATCTAGAAAAGCAAATATGAGAAGGATTGAGGTGTGGGTAAGAGCCATGGACGGATTCTTTCTGTTACTGCCGTTATGAATTCTCAAATCTTTGCCAATAAAGCCCATAAAGCCAATAAATTTATATTTTTTTTGGGGTTTTAGTTATAAAGTTGCCCGAATTTTGACCCGATTCGTATTTTGATCTTTCAATTTCTAAAATCGTTCCTGTGGTCCTTCAACTTCACTTTCGTTAGGACAAATGGTCCTACCGTCAATTTTGTTATCTTTTCTGTTAAATAGAGGGGCAAAATAGTATTTTTCATATATATTTTTTAAATTTTCACCTTTTAAATATTCCCCTCACCCAACAAATAAAAATAAAAAACTAAAAACTGAAAAACCTTCTTCCTATCCTCACCACATTAGCCATTACTCCTCTTTCGGCCATGTTGTTTGACTGAAGATAGGAAGAAAGTTTTTAAGTTTTTAGTTTTTTATTTTTATTTTTTAGCTGCAAAGAATATTCATAAGGTGAAAATTTAAAAAAAAAAATACATTTAACAGAAAAAAAAAAGTTAACAAAATTGATGGCATGACCATTTGTCCTAATGAAACAGAAGTTGAAGGACCACGTGAAAGATTTTGGAAATTAAGGGACCAAAATGCGAATTAGGTCAAAGTTCAGGGACCATTAGACTTAAAAATTCTCAAAAAGCTTAGGGTACTTTTGGTATCCTACTTGGATCCAATTTTATAAAACTCAAAACCAGAGTCTAAGTCTAAAGCCACAAAAGCCCATTTGCTTGGCCCATTTTTCAAAACATAAACTCAAAAGTAAGATTTTACAGTTTTTTTTTTCTCTCTCTCTCTCTTGTATGGCACCTGATCCGTTTGTCTTCAAGTTCAAGCAACATCGTTATATGGATGTGTCGAAGATTTGGGCAATCTTCAGGCTAGGTGTTGTTGGTGCCGTGTTCGAAGCCAGTTGATGATTCTAGGTCAACGTCGTCAACTCCGTCAAGTTTTCCTTCGTCCGTTACCTCCCTATCCCGACTTGACCCGGCCCAAAATTGATTAATCTTTTTTCATGTTTTCAGTTTCTAGGGTTTCTGCCTCATAAAATTTTCCTTTTCCTTTGTTAATTTAAATTTCAGAATCTAGGGTTTCTGATTTTTTTTTTTTTCGATTTTTTTAAATATTAAAAATAATTTGGAGTTTAATACGAAATAAGTTTTTAGATCTTAAAATCATTATTTGATGTTTTTTTTTTTTTAATCATAGTTTTTAGTAGGGTACCAAACATGGCCCTTAGAGCACCTCCACCTCAAAAGGCAAGGCAAGGTTGGACACTATTCACATGAATAGTGGCAGCCTTGCCTTTTTTGGTTCCACCCTAAAGGGCAAGGGCAAGGGCAAACACTATTCACTTTACTTTATTTTCTATTTTTTTTTTTTATACTTAACCATTAATTTTGATAAGCTTTTCATATAATATTTTCGATTCCCACGTGTCACTATTTATTATAAAATTCTCACCTAAAATTTCAGATAACATTTTTGGATAAAATTTTCAAATTAAATTTTCGGATAAGAGTTTTGGTTGCTACGTGTCCATCAAATTTCAAATAAGATTTTCGGATGAGATTCTCGGTTGCCACGTGTCTTATTTCAGATCAGATTTTCGAATATTTATTAAAAAAAATTATAATCTCATATTTCAGATAAGATTTTCACCATCTAAAATTGCACCACGCGTCCCATGTCAGATAAGATTTTTAGATATTTATTAAAAAATTATAATCTCAAATTTCAGAAGTATGATATTTGCGAATGGGATTTGTAATTACGACATATACTTCGTTCATAAGTATGATGTCGTTGGGGTTTTGGGTCTTCTTCCTGAGCAAAAACTTACAGCTGCCTTGCGGATGCTTGCTTATGGGGCATCTGTAGAGCAGGTGGATGAGATTGCGCGGATGGGAAAATCAACTATCCTAGAGTGCTTGGTGAGATTTTGTGATGCAGTAGAAAATCTTTACAAGAATGAGTACCTTCGCAAACCTACGGCTAAGGACCTCCGAAGGCTTGTACAAAAAGATGAGGCTCGAGGTGTCCCAGGAATGATTGGAAGCATCGATTACATACACTGACAGTGGAAGAATTGCCCAATTACTTGGGAAGGAGATTATGGGAATCGAAATGGCCAAAAAAGTATAATTCTGGAGGTCGTAGCTTCATTCGACACTTGGGTTTGGCATGCCTTCTTCGGAGTTGCCGGATCTCATAATAACCTCAATGTGCTTGGTCAATCCTCGATGTTCAACAATATATTGCTAGGTCATTCCCCCCATATCACGTACCGAATCAACAATACCGTATAGTCGGGTGCATACAACCTCTCTGACGGAATTTATCCTAGGTGGATGACATTCGTGAAAACAATTCTGAATCCCCAATCTGAGAAGGAAAAAAGTTTTGCTGTCTTTCAAGAAGGTTATAGGAAAGGTGTGGAAAGGTGTTTCGGTATCTTGCAAGCTCATTGAGCAATTATTAAGGGTGCTGCTTGGATGCTTGATGAGGAGGTGTTGCGAAGCATTATAATGACTTGCATCATCCTCCATAACATGATTGTGGAGGATGAGTATGATTATGATGCTCCAGAGGTGTTCGAACCCAATCCCATGAACACGGCGTTGACAAGAATTTATGAAAGGCCGATGGGACCAAATGGACAACCAATGGAGCATGAACTGTTAATTCAGGATGGTCGATACAACAACCCCATGATTGATCGTTATCAAGAAATGCAATCTTCATATGTTCATGAGAGATGTCAAGTTGACTTGATCGAGCACTTGTGGGAGATGAAAGGCAATCACAGTGGATGAAGTCAAGATTAATGCTTTGTTTTGAATTATGCTTTGTTTTTAATTATGTTTTATGTTTTGTGTGGTGTGTTTGGAATTATGCTTTGTTTTTAATTATGCTTTGTTTTGTGTGTTGTTTGCAATAAATTAAGGTTTTTTTTACTTAAACTTTGTTTCGATGAGCAAATGTTTTTAATAAATAGTCATATTATTTAATGCTTTCTTTATTGAATAAAAGGGAAATAATACAACAAATTAATATATATGGCAAATCTTTCAATACAACCTAATAATTTTGATCATTTAACCAATCCGTATTGCTAAGTTCATCGTCATGGAAAAGTTTTCTTCTCATCAGATCCCTTCATTTTAGCTTCAAATAGGACTTTGTTTCAGGAGAAATATGGCTCGTATCCATGGCCATGATTTTCATCTCTCCGTCCTCCATGTCTTGTTCTTGTGCATGCTGCCTTTGAATTACAAATGCTTCATGTCGTGCCTTGTCCAGTTCTTCTCTTTTCAAGTCTCTCTCAATTCTCAGTGCGTTGTTCTTAGCAATTTGCTCCAAAAATTGTGCACATTAATTGTTCGAAGTGCTCCCTCTCTTGGCCTTTGCCGCCTTTCTCCCAATAGGTCTCGTCGCACGTGGGAGTGTTGAGTCTTGATCCATTAGGGAGTCCAATGGCGAATCGTGGAGCGGCGTCTCATTTAACACAACCGTCGGACCAGTGGAAATAATTTTGAATCTCGAACAATTCTTCACAACTTCCCAACATTGGTGACTCATGAAACTTTTTTTGCCTTGCCCCATGGCACTGAACCACATTTGTGCTTGTATGATCTATGAAAAACAAGTTGGAAATGTAAGAAAATGTAAACAAATTGGAAATGCAAGAAAAAAAAATTGAATATGCAAGAAAATATAAACATGCAAGAAAAAAAAAGAGAATATGCCAGAAAATATAAACATATTGGAAATGCAAGAAAAAGAAATTGAATACGCAAGGAAAAAAAAAGTTACATTAAATTGAATAAAATCACATTTCTAAATATTTTACCTCATCAACAAGATTTGACCACTTCGAATGTTGTCCCTCGCTTTTGCTAATGCATTTCTCCATTTCCCTAACTCTTTATTCAAAATTTTCCACCTACTAGCCAAGGCCATTTCCGTCTGAGGCGAACCCGATCTTTCACAAAATTCTCCATAAATTTTTCTCCACATATGAGAGAACTTAATCTCATTGCCCGTTACAGGGCAATGACTAACTTTCACCAAACACTCACACAACACAATATCTTCCTAAGTTGTCCACGCACCTCCGGCTTCGACAGAAGTGGCCATTTGTTTTTTTGATACAAATGGAAAGTAGTAGAAAAATGCGAGTGGAAAGTAAAAAATATTATAAGGAGAAGAGTTTGTATGAAGATTTGGTGTGGAAAGTGAATCAAATTATTAGGTATTTATAGGGAAAAAATCCAGAATTTTTTGGTAGTTTTTTTTTTAAAAATTTGAATTTGTTTGCAAAATTTTTAGCCAAAAAAATCAAGGCTGTCGGATTTCTAGAAAAAATTCAATCGGAGCGTTTAGGAAGCGCCAAATGACGTATTTCCGTTAGGCCCTGTTAGAGGAGAGAGACTTACCTGCACCGGGGATAGGGCTACAGTCCTATCCCCGGTGCAGGCAAGTTTTTTTCCTGTTAGAGATGACGTCACACTGACGTCAGAGAGCGGAAGTCAAAATTTGGGCTCTTGGGGGCCTATTGCCAGGGCAGGGCCCTAGCCCTGCACATGCTCTTACTTCCCTCCCTAACTTTTTATTTTTTGAAAAAAGTTCATTGCCCACTAGCAATTTGAGAACCTAATGAATCCGAAGTACGGGTCAGATGGGCCTTATTTTGAAATCTAATCCTAACCGTTAGTTTAAAACCAACGGCCAGGATTATAAGCTTCATCGGCTTATCCAAAAGGCCAAAACCCGAACATTTAACCAACCAAAACTCTCAGTCTTGAGAGACTACGAAGAGAGAGAGAGAGCACGAAAATGGGTCTTCTTCTCTACTCCAATCCTCTGCCTCTCACCACCGCTTCCTCTCGTTCTTCTTCTCCATTTCCAACATCATCATCTTCAACAGCTGCAACTGCAATCTGTAAGCTCTGTCTCTCTTCTCTCTCTCTCTCTCTCTCTCTCTCTCTCTCTCTCCCAAATTGTTTTCTCCATTTACTTTTAAGACATTGTTGGTTCAATTGTTGGAAGGTCTATATATACCAAGTGTAATTTGAAAACAGTAAGAATGCAATTGAACATAAGAACTTTGTTGGGTTATGTGTATTTTGGGTAGAAGAACAAACCTTCATTGCATAGGAGGCTTGGGACTTGATGCTCTTCTTTAGTATCTGTGGCTTTGCATTTTTCAGTTGTGTATTATTATCTTTACTTCAAAATTTTCCTTTAACTTCCCCAAATGACAAAACTTAATTGGCTGTTTTTGGTTGGTTTCTATGTTTCTTGGTGTGCCTTATCTACTACTTACTCAACACTCGTTCAGGTTTTCCCTCAAACACTTGGCATGCGCCCATTCTTCTTCCTATGCTTTTCTAATCTTATTTCCTGTCCCTTTCGCCTTCTACACTTCAACTTTCCTCTGCATTTGGGTTTTGCTAATCTTATTTTCTTTCTTCTTATTTGTAAACTATTCTATTATGTAAATGTGCTCGCTCCCTTGTTGCTCCTGTTTCGTAATTTGCCAATGTTGCATCTCATTCAGCTCATATTCATATGATAATTGTATTTTTTTTTTCCTTTGGTCTTCAGTTTCCAGGTTGCACTTGAAACCCACTGATGCACATCCAAAATCTTTCAGTGGAGTTCACCTTCATATGCCCGCTGTCAAAAGGTTTGCATCAGTAGTTGTTAAGGCTTCCTCTGACATTGATGGCACCGGTCCAACAGAAAGTAGTGAGTCAGTTTCAGATACCAAGAAAGAGGTAGTACCTGTTGACAAGCTTCCCTCGGAGTCAAAGCTGCAAGAGAGGCTAGAGCAGAAGGCAAAGATGCAACTGGCGAAGAAAATAAGACTTCGGAGGAAAAGACTTGTTCGTAAGCGGAAGCTGAGGAAGAAAGGCCGATGGCCTCCTTCAAAGATGAAGAAGTTAAAGAATGTCTGACCTTTACCTCAAGCTTTCTTGCAGGTTTAGTTCTGACACTTTTTGCTTCTCAGGTCATTTCATTTCGTTATTGTAAGATCAAATGTATCATCATATGGTGTATTTTGTTTGTTTGAATCTTGATGATTTCAATGAGAACACCATTGTCCAATTGATCTGAATTAGAATTATAGATGGCAAAAGTGCGTACCTTTTTAGATTCACATATGCGAGCAATTTAGTTGATTTATGCAATCACTTCATCTGGTATTCTTGTGGTTTTAGATTTTTGTTTCCAACATGTAAGCTATGTTAGATGAATAATAAATAGTGATAGTTCAAGATCATCTGCTGTCATAAACTCTTCCAAGGTTGGATGAACCCGGAAAAGCCAGTAAGGCAGGATTAACTGTAGTCTGTTGTTAACCCTTCTTGTTACATTAGTGAGGAACTAGTCTGTAAGTTTGTTACAAGTAATTAATTAGTTCGTCGAAAGAGTTGGTCAGCTAACAGATGAGCAGTTTTATAACTGATTTATCATTATGTCAATGAGGAAAATTCAGTTCAGTTTAGAAAATTTCTTTTGTCAATTCAATAGCAATCTCGCAGTTGAGTAATTTTGTGTCCAAGCCACTGCCTCAAGCCAAGCTTCAATAGGTACACAGTTCAAGCAGTCTTGTGTTTTCTTACATTTTCATGAAGATTCCTGTGTTTTCTTGAGGAAAATTCATAATATGCATTCGAGCATGGTAGAGTAGCATTCTAGCTTTAATGACGCCTGTGAATCAACTAAAATGGTGAGCACCATGAAATTTCAGCTTGTCGGAAATCGGATTCTGATCAAACTCACAGGAAAACTGGAAACCACTTCCACAGGATATGTGGTGTAATTCGTAGCACCAGAAAGACATGCATTCATTGGGCTAATGCTTAAACTCGGTTCAACATGGATAAATAAATTTATTGACCAGCGCCAATAAAAATAAATTTAGATAAATTCATTTGCATACTTCCTCATTCCCTCATTCCCTCATTCCCACATTCTCATTGCATTGTTTTGACTCACGACTCCCCGGTGCATTTCTATCTAATTTGTGTTTTCATAGTCTATAAATTATAGGCCATCTTCCTTTTAAACTTAATATGAGAAAATTATCAACTCTTACATAGATTCCTTCCTTTATCTCTCTATAGAAATTTATCTATGTATGATCTTTTTGATAGTGTATCTATTTTTTAAAACTTTAGTCTCTTTTGGCAGTTATAATTTGCAGTCCTCAAGATTTATGCTCGTGTCTAGGTATTCTTTCTTCTTAATTTCAAAAACAGCTAAAGGTTTTAAAGAGCTTTTAGATTTAGGGTTTATGTCATGAATGTTCCTGAACTTTCAAAAGGTCATCATTTGAGTTCACAAACTTTCAAAGCAATCACTGTGATCCTTAATTATTTGGTCCACACATCAGTTTGTCCCTTTCGTTTGCATTCAGTCAAAATCTTCGTTCAAATTGGTCACATGATAGCACGTGACCAACTTTGAAAGAGAATAATTAGTACAACATGGATTGGTTTCTTTAATTAGGGATGCAATGATATAGGTTTTTACATAGATAGGAGCTCAAACTTTCCTTGTGTTTCTTTTCAAATTTTGTTTCCTCTCAAAAAAGTTTTTATTGGCACATGAGATGATTGTTGTGTAGATACAGCTGCACCAAAATGGATTCAGTTGCATCCTCAACTTGTGATACTCGCAAGTGCACGAGCCGTTCGGTAGTATAGCGTATGTAAGTGCGAGGTCAATCCCACGAGGATTGGTGATTGAATGATTCAATTCATTTTCCCTACACAAAACAGAAATGAAAAAGAAAGGAAATAAATAAAACAAGGAAGAAAGAAATAACTAACTCAAGCAAATAAGTTCCCAAGTTCAATTAGATTAATGGATTGGTTCTAGCTAAAGTATGATTAAGCCATGGTGTGTGGTCATAACCTTGTGTTCCTAATTCCCTAATTTGATCATTTGTTGTCTAACCTAAAATTAAGCATTAGGAACCCATTAAGCATAGAAGAACATTTTAAACAACCAAGTATGTATCTAATCCCTGTTGTCGAATGTCCATACATACTCTTCCTATTCATAGTTCAATTCGAATTAAAGCATGGTGTATACTCTTAATTCAAACCAAGATAGCTAACATGCAAGCCTAAATGGTGATCAATCATTCAAACTAGCATATTAACTTATAAGCATAATGAATAAGAACATGAACCATAATTGAAACTTGGAAACTAATCAAACTTGAAAAACTAAAGAAAAGAATTTACATAATGAAAAATAAATTACAACTAAGAAGCAAAAGCAAAGCTAGAATTGAGAACTAGAAAGCAAAATTAAGCCACTTCAACTTCAATTAATTCATTTGGCTGCTGCAAAATTCCACTCAAAAATAGGTATTGAATATGCTTCACCAAACTTTCTCACAATGAACAACACTTCATCATGCATATGTCATGCATGACAATGCATTGCAGCCAGCTTGTGGGCTCGTTTTGGGCTTGTGGCTCCAAT